TTTAATTATCATTCGATAATTAAATACGCGGATTGGTATCTGTAATAACACAGAAAATGCGATAAATTTTTATTCTGACCAATTTCCAATCTTCCAGACACTTAGGCGTTTTATACCGATAAATATTGCTCGACAAACGTACCACTGTGTTGAATATTTATTTATTAGAATATTCGAATAATTATATGAAAAATTGAAAAAAGGGAATATGACGAATATTAATGTAATATAATATAAATATAAAAATCGAGAGAAATCGTTAATGAGAAATCAAAAAATAAAATAAAATATGTTATAGTAGATACTAGTGCAAGATTAATCCTTTGAGCTTGATAATTTTTTGAATAAAGAAGGGTACGAGTTTAATTATCATTCGATAATTAAATACGCGGATTGGTATCTGTAATAACACAGAAAATGCGATAAATTTTTATTCTGACCAATTTCCAATCTTCCAGACACTTAGGCGTTTTATACCGATAAATATTGCTCGACAAACGTACCACTGTGTTGAATATTTATTTATTAGAATATTCGAATAATTATATGAAAAATTGAGAAAAGGGAATATGACGAATATTAATGTAATATAATATAAATATAAAAATTGAGAGAAATCGTTAATGAGAAATCAAAAAATAAAATAAAATATGTTATAGTAGATACTAGTGCAAGATTAATCCTTTGAGCTCGATAATTTTTTGAATAAAGAAGGGTACGAGTTGAAAAATTTCCTGTTATAAGACTGTAATAATATTTTTCGAGTACTAAATAAAAAATCGTATTATCTTAAATTTGATATATTAATTAACCCTTTGCACACGAGAAGTGAGTTTCAGTCACCATTTCATAAAATTTGGAAGATCGATATTAATTGATATATCAAATTTAATGCAATGTAACAGTGTGCGGGGTATCGAAGTCAAATAATTCTACAATTCTATTATTATACAATTCTTTATTTACTGCTCAAAAAAGTATCGTCAACTTTTTAGTAGAGAATCTTTGAATTTCTACTCTTCTCTAGCCAAAAGTCATCGAGTGCAAAGGGTTAATATCGAGCTTCGAAATTTTAACCCTTTGCACTCGAGAGGCGCCTCTCAGTCGCCATTTAATCAGATTCTAAAGATGGATGTTAATTAATATATCAAATTTACAATTACCCAACGATGCGTGGAATATCGAAGTAAAATAATTCTACGTCTTAATTTGCATACGATCTCTTATTCACCGTTTTAGAAATATCGTCGACTTTATGGCAGGAAGTCTTCGAATTACTATTTTCCCGTAACGAAAAGATCGTCGAGTGCAAAGTGTTATTATACCAACATATATATATTTAAAAATCTATACAACCATTGCCACAAATCCAAGACCGCGTGGGCCGCTATCGAAGTACGTTAACATAACCTCGCGCGCGATGAAGTTCGATTTTCTGTATGACCTATCTGTCTATTAGCGCCGGTTTACACGTAACAATTTCATGGAAGCAAGAGAAGAAGCGAATCACGTGTAAACCGACTCTCTACCTTCCACTCAGCGATATATCTCGCCTTTCCTTTTTTACCATCGATCGATACAGCAGCACGTGAAAAGTTCATTAACGAAAATAATTAGACGCAACTATACCTAGCCTTATTGTTTCCTTCGTGTGCCGTGATTCGCCTGCTCTTCCCGCCGGGTATAGCGAAGGACCGGGTTGCTGTATAATATGCATCTATAGCAAAACTTGCTATACAGACAAACGTTTCCACGGTTACGAAATAGAGGGCGTACTTACCGCAATGCGCCAGTGACGTGTTCACGAATGCAACAAAGCGTTCCTTGCTGGTTAAAAAAACGGACAGAGCGGGAAATCTAACAAATAGCATTTGTTATTTGCACCTCGTCGTTAATTTTCTCGCGCTGATCAGTCGAATCGGAATATACGTTAGATTTATTCCGGCCTGACGTTCGGAATTTTTCACGGAGGAAATCAAACATCGAATTTGCTCGGGAGACGGAAATGGAAGAATTCAAACGAATGCTCGGTTCGCTGGACCAGCATTCGAATTCGAATTCGGAGTTTTGCTTGCCGGCCAATTGCGTTTAATCAATTAAGTTATCCGGGTCACCGGCCATTTTTGTTTCCCCTCTAAGCCTAAGGTTCTCAATGGCCTACGTGCTTCTCGAACACGTATGAAATCGTCGAAGTTACGAAGTAACGAAGGGATTCGGGTCTAGGGATTCTTTAAAGTCGCAGAGACCGAATTTCCTCCGTTAAATTGCTTTACTATCATTTTAATTCCGTTTAATTGAGTATGTTATTCGCCATTTTCTTTTTTATTTCCACGAGTCGACATTTTCTTTTAGGAATATATTTATTCTTTATTTTTAAAATTGTAGAGATCGAATTTGCTCCGTTAAATTGCTATACTATCATTTTAATTCCGTTTAATTGGGTATGTTATTCGCCATTTTCTTTTTTATTTCCATAAGTCGCCATTTTCTTTTAGGAATATATTTATTCTTTATTTTTAAAGTCACAGAGACCGAATTTGCTCCGTTAAATTGCTATACTATCATTTTAATCTCATTAAATTGGGTATGTTCGCCATTTTGTTTTTTACTTCCACGATTTTTTTTAGAGATATAGCGTTTATTTTTTATTACAACCGACCAATTTAAATTTAAGGTTATTAGAAAATAATAATTAACAACGATTGGCAATAATGTTAAAGTACACGAATATTTTATTTATTATACTATCAGTTTAACATTATGTCACTAATCACTAATATCACGAATATTATCGACACATCGAAGAAAATATAAGTTTTTATTTTTCATTTTCAATTTCCATAGTTTTACTTGTTCCCGCGGAGTAATTTAAATGTACAGTCTCAAAAAGCAATGATTAATAATTTGAACATTACGAGTGTAGTTTGACGTACATAGTGTTCACCTTCGACTAAAATTCCGTAATACGTTTTTGCGTGTCTGTAGGAGAAGCAAATGCACGATTCTCAAGGAATCTTCCAGGATCGTAGAGCTAGAGTACTGTTGGTCAATAAGAGGAAGGACGCGTTCCTTATATAGGACGGTTGTTAAGATTTTATTCAGACATTGTCACGATATTTCTCTGGGTTCTTTTCTCCGTTCCTCATTAAAAGTTGCACGAGAGCGTGGTTTAGAAGGTTAACGTGGTCGTTTAATTAAAAAAATTTTAATACCCTTTCGCTTGCTCCATTACGTCGCTTTATGAACTTTGCTACTTTCATCGCTTGTTGAAAACATTCGTGTTTTGTACCTTCGATGTTAACGTGATTATTTTCCACCAGCATTTTCGTGTTTCTCGATTTCATAGGAAGAGACGAGCGAGAACTTTCCCCATCGAATTTTCCCATGGTCTTTTCATCTTTTATACACTTCGAAGAAGGTGGCGAATAATTACACCGATAATTATATCGATAATTACGTATATATATACGATATATATTTATCCACGCAGAGAGAATAAGGACAGCTTAACGGGTCATCTTGCGAGCTTATTATGAGAGAATTAATTGATCGATTGGCGAGTTATTTTTACCTTTTTTTCGGTGTCCTAGTTATCATCGCCTTGATTATAAATCGCTTCGCACTGAAAAATCTCGGCTTCCCTTCCGCTCTGAAACATCACAAAAGTGTCGTGAATGATCTTTCTGCGGTGCTAGAAGAATGTTCAAGGAACGACGAAATAATAGCGCAATGAATAGTGAAGTATACACCGTGTACACCATCGTTAACTGTTCCGAAGAAAGCCATTCATGCACAAGAGTGGAAGGCTTCTTTGAAGAGCTGCAAACTGTAATCTTGAATTTCTAAGACAATTTTTCTCCTTTATGATTTATTTGTCGTTACTTGTGTACTCTTTCCTTGATTTATCTTTTCAAAGAACTTTTGGATACGCTGCTGGCTATTCCCTCTTTATTATTTTCCTCGAGACACTGGCTCTATTTCTTGCGAAAATAGTTTGTAGAAATTAATATTCAGGATGATGCTAGAATAAGAACAGTAGTCCTCCCAGTGATTTTAGGTGAATATTTTGGCAATGGCAGTTGGAATCACTGTCAACAGTGGAGTTAAGATTGCACCCTTTTTCATCTATCATGTCTGTGTCATATCTACCATATTGGTTTGGGTGGATTGGCTAAAATAGCGCTGTTTACTTCTTATGAAATAAAATAAGCTCATACATAGAGTATTGGTTAAGAGAGATTCGCTATGGTTACGTTCGACTTTGAGTTCTTATTGCCATATTGACACGCTATTAGCAACTTCCAAAAGACTCCTGGAGACCGTTCAAGACTGGAGCTGTCCGCGCCCTTGCACCCTTATTTAAAGCATTCATGCTTTCCTTCCCAATCATGCCCCTTTCCCACGCAACCTCCGTGGGTCAGGACTTCAATCACTCTGGACGTATCCCCAAACTTTCACTCGACCCTACCATGAACATTCTTTGCAGTTAATCCGCTTGCATCCTAAGCCCAAACACACTTGGCATTCTTTCAGGGCCGTACTTATTCTAATCTCACATATCTATTATTTTTAAGTAATTGATTATTACTTGGAAATTTATTTTATTTATAAAAATTTCATAGAATTCCTTGTCTTTTCACCTGATCCTTCCTATCTTATTTTAGGACGAATATTTCTCGGTGAATAACGACTTTGGAAATTATTTCTTTCATTTCGTATTATACGAGAGCCACCTGTTTTATTATTACTAATTACTAATTATTAATATCATAATTGTTATTATATCTGTAAAATTCTCCCGTGCCTGGTATGCAAAAGAATGCGATATTTTTATTCCGTTTATACTCCGCGAGATTAGGGTACCGAGTCGCTACGTAGAAAGATTAAACGATCTTCGGGCTTCTTTGACATTTCGATGTTTATTGATCGGTTACTCGGAATATTCAAGAGGAATTATTCCTTTCAGATTCCTCGATGGAGAGTTCTGGTGGTGACAAGCAGAACGAATCGGACGAGTGCGATGTGACCGCCAATAATCGGCATCAGAACAAGATGACGGGCCAGGAGGACAGCAACGTATTGAAGATAAGCAAAGATTTAGGCGACCAGGAGGCATTGAAGAATCTGAAGAACTTAGAGAATATTAGTCAAAACGACGAGGCTTCGACTAAATTATCCAAGGCTGTGTCCCAAGAGAACGAAGATGACGAGGACGAGTGTAAAGGCTCCGACGAGGACGAGCTCAAAGAGGAAAAAACCGACGGGAAAAAGGACGAGGAATCGTCGAGCAGTACAACGTCTACGAGCACCTCTGATGACGAGTCTGAAACCAGTTCAGACGATAAGACGGAGGCTTCGAAAACCGAACAGACTAAGACGGTCACGTCTGAGACCAAGAAGGAGGATCAGGCGTCGAAGAACGACGATACCACCGACGACAGTGATATCGAGGATGACTTGATTTCGGCGATCAATTACAACACCATCACCTCTCTGGCCGCCCTCAAGGATATGCTGCAGTCCTCCGGAGAGGATTCAGACGGTGTGGATAGTTTCTTTCATCATTACTTTTTGTCCCACGTGAACAGGTTACCGTCGAGGAATCAGACTCATAGTCCTTATCCGTGGGGTAGAAGATTGTCGGAGTGCAGGGAAGAGGATGAATACGAGAACGAAGATGGTAAGAGACGTGTATTATGTAGTTACAGTGGATTATATTTATTCCGTGTTAGCTGTTAAGATAACGTAGTCTGGCTCTGAGGATCGTCCTTTACACTCTCACGTTGGATGTTCCTTACCATTGTTATGGCCATTGTGGGTCTAATAGAAGGTTTACTAGCGTGGTTATTTTTATTAAAGGAATAGGGTAAGAAATTCG